TATATATATATATATATATGTATATATATATGTATATACACACACGCATACACATTTGCATATACATACATACATACATACATACATACATACGTATGTACATACATGCATACATACATACATACATGTATATACACAAAGGCACAAGCCCAGATGCTCAGTCGCAAGCTTTGATGGGCTTATCCCACCGTTTGACAGCAAGACAGGTAATCATAAAGGTTATTGCGACACTGAGGACATAGTGGGCGGGGCAGAGTGTTAGCCAAGCACCATAGTAAGATAACTGTGCTGGTCTGTGTGAGATGCAAGACACCGCTTCACCGAGCATTCATCAAAAGGAGGTTGATCTCGGGTGACCGACCGACCCTTTTTTGTAATGCAAAGTTTCTTGCCTTGTCACCCTGGCCAGGCTATATTTTCCGGGTGAACCCATATCGAGAAATGGTCAGTGATATGGTGCGCTACACAAGGCTTCCATTCTGTGGCTTGCGGCCGTTTATGCGGATGGTTGCAGACATTGCGAAAGACGCACTCCAAGCGGGCTGCGCGACAAACGCTGCATATCTGGGTGATGCGGAGACCTGCAAGTTCACCTTCGTCGAAGGAGGTGCTGTTGATTCGATTTACGTAGAGAAAGCCTGTGATCGAAGTGTTTTCCACCAAGGGCAACAAAGGGTTACTCATATTGGCATCGCACGGTGACTAGCTCCAGCGTACAAATGGCGATGCTTACGGCTACAATCGGCTAAGTGCAGACTTTGAGATTGGGAAGCATGGTCGGATCTGCGCTCTGAGCCACAGCCGTAACCGCGCATGGTAAGGGAGTTGCAGTCGGGTCCTGTCGTCTGGCGGCAGGCCCTCACCTGGGCGACTGCGCGTTGTGGGCGGCCGCAAGCCTCCGTCTCTTGTCTGTCATGTAAGTCATGCACAGCATGCAGCGGCTGCAGCAGACTAACCCTAGGCCTGGCTGGGGTGCAGACCAGGGCTCTTGCCTTCGAACCACTGCCCGATGCAGCCACCCTTTTTCAACAGAGCCAAAGCAGCAGAGTACGCCGCAAGGTTCTTGCAAACAAAGTCCAACCAGTATGTAGCCATTTGTTGTCATGTCCGGCAGCGAGGAGTGTGTCCGAGAACGGCCTATCTGCATCTGTGCAAGTGCGCAATGCAGCACTTGGGCAGATGACTGGCCAAACCGAGCTGATCCACTTTCGTGGTCACAACGGTCAGGAGCAGAACATAAAATTCTATGCAATATGCATGATGCTGGCGATGCTACGTAAGAACAAGGCGGACGGCTTCCTGATCGCACGTTTCATGTCCCCTGAAGGCAACCGTGAATGACTACGATTTCCCATCGCAGGACAGACGTGAGGCAGTCAATGCACGAGTGTTTTTACTTCTGAGTTGACTCGAAAGTCATGGATAGACCATGTTTCAATGTGCGGCGGCCAAGGTTGTGACAATACCCGCCGTGGAGGTGGCTTTGGATGACGAAGTACCTGCGAACTGGCCGCAGATTGATGCCCTGAAGTTGAGCGTTAACGGCGCTGAACGAAACACACTTGTCCGGCCCTCAGAGCCATTACTGGCCCCTTTCGAGCACACGACGATTCGAAGCTGCGGCGACAGTTTCAGGCAGGCGCCCGAAAGCTGCTGTCGAAGAGACGGGTTTGCTCTGTGCCTTGGCTGAAAGGAATCTCAGGGCTGCGCGATTTGCAAAACGGCCGGCAAGAGTCCTGAGGTCCTTATGCATGCGACGAAATGCAAGAGGTCTGATGGCTTCCATGTTCTAGGGCTTCTAGGGCTTCTGGTTTCTTACACCTTCCCCGGACTCTCCGGAGGGGCAGACGTCCGGCTTCCGAAGATCCAGCTCCGAATTCAGGGGCTTCCAAGCTGCTTGGCGCTGGCGAGCAGTTTTCAAGTCTCATTCCACTGCAGTGATCTTGGTGACAAGTGAGGTTTGCCTATGATCTGATGACGTTTCTCCATGAAGGGAGACTAAGCTGAACTCAGCACCCAAAGGTGAACAAGAGCGAAGCGAGGCCACGCTCTGGGCCATATGCAAACATGAGATCTCAAGTTTCATGTGAGTTTGCCAAGTCTTAAGTCCGCAGATGTCCGCAGCTGCATCTGACCACGTCAAGCGATGCCTCAGTTTCCGTGTAGATGAGCACACTATGCAATTCCGGACTTCTTCCTTGGCAAAGACTGAAGCTGTGCTCTGGTGAGATTTCGGTGTGTGCGAAGCAGCATCGCTGGATCCAGGCTCTGCAGCTGCTCGAGGACATATCCTTGGATTTGCCGCCAGATGTGGTCGTGTTGAATGCGGTTTTGAGTGCATGTGCCCGTGCAAACCGCTGGGCTACTGTTCTGGGACTGTTGCAATCGATGAAGTTACAGACGATGAGGCCGAACATCGTATCCTACGGTGCAGCAATATCTGCATGTGCAGATGCCTGGCAGGCAGGCCTTCATCTTCTGGCCGAGGTGTCAAGTCAGAGCCTGGAGATGAACGTGTTCGTCTGCAGCTCTGCCATCACAATTTGTGGAAGCCAGTGGCAACGAGCCATCGACATTTTCCGGGAGATGTATGGTCTGGCTGTGCTACCCAATCTGGTGACTATGGGAGCTGCCATAACTGCATGCGAGCGTGGTCAACAATGGCTGTCAGCCTTGGACCTGCTTCAGCTGACGGAAGCCGCAGGATGGAAATTGAACTTGCAGATCTTCTGTGCCGCGATGAGTGCTTGCGGAAAAGCTGGCCACTGGCAGCATGCACTTGCACTGCTGGAGGAGCTGCCTCTCCAGAAGCTCGAAACAGAATCCTATGCATGCAGCACCGCAGTAAGTGCCTGTGGCACGGGGCTCAGTGCTGGGCAATGGCAGCGGGCCCTCTGCCTCTTCTTCGATCTGTGCGCCTCAAGGGTAAAAGCCAACGAAGTCGCTTTGGGATCGGCCATTGCGGCTTGTGAAGCAGCTGGCCGTTGGGAGGTCGGCCTTCGACTCCTTCACAACAGTGAAAGTATGAGCGTGGTGCTCGACCTTGCATGTGTGAACTGCGCCATCGGTGCTTGCCAAACGGGAAGCCAGTGGCAACTGGCACTGTGTTTGTTTGCGGACTTGAGAGCCTCAACGCGACATCTCCGACCCAACGATCTAACCTACGGTGCCCTCATGCGTGCATGTCGACGGGCCCATCAGTGGGAGATGGCTCTGAGCCTGTGGGCGGAGTATGAAGAAGTTCATCACAAGTCGAAGTCGGGCAGCCTTCTCGTTCTGAGCGAAGCGGTGAGTTCTTGTGAGTCTGGCGAGAAGTGGGATCTGGCGCTATGTCTGCTCGGAAAATGTTTGGGTTTCCGGCTTCAGCTGGATGGCATCCTCTGCGCAGCTGCGGCTAGTGCATGCCAGAAAGCACATCGATGGCAAGAGCCTCTGCACGTGCTTCATGTCATTCGAACTGGAGGCCTCGAAGCGAATTTGATTGCAAGTAGTGCTGCCACCATGTCCTGCGGGCTGGTACCTTCACAGTGGGAGCGCGTGGTTCAACTGGTGGCACGGATGGACACGCTGTGGCAGCGTGATGCTGCCATTCAAGCTGTGTTCGCGGCCACCTGTGAAGCCGTCGGGCTTGGGCATGGCTTGAGTGAATTGCTGGAGGAGACTGCTGAGCTTACGCTTGCAGCACTAGATTCCGTCGACGCCAGAAATAGTGCTGGAAACGGCCTGTTACAGAATGCAGAGGGCTCTTGTATTGATCGAGTGGGGCTGGTGGACCAAAACGGGCACGGGGAAGGATAGATAGGGAAAGGTTTCAGCAGCATTCGCTGCTTCTTTGTAGCTGAGGAACATGGATGTTTACGAACACAACGATGCCACCTCTGGACAAGGCTTGCATGTGCATAGTGCCAGCGCGTTGTAAAGTTACACGTGGGAGGGTTTCCGAAAAGGACGTGGTCGAGTTCAACGAGTTCGCTCGGCAGACGAGATGGATTCAATCTTCGACCATCCCCAGCTTACGGAGCAGGCTCTGCACCTAAAGTGGAGAGAGGGGCAAGAATGGCAGGGAGGGCAGGCAGGGCAGGAGGGTACGAGGGCGGGGAACCGGACTCGAAGCTCTGAGGACGGGCTGGAAAACTCTTGACGGAAGTGGGCAGAAGGGCGGGAAGGGCAAAGGGCGAGTGGAACATAAACGTATGATACAAGAATATAAAATGTACAAGTTGCAGGAAGAAAGAACACCGGCGAAGGGAGGGTGGCTGCGAAGCACGGGGTCGCACAGGGAAGGACGGGTTTGAAGGGTGCGCAAGGTGAGAAGTGTGGGAAGGGCGGAAGGGGTGGGCAGAGCTGAAGGGTAAATCACCGGCATCGACAGCATCTTGAATTTCAAGCCGCGCAATGGCCGAAAGCGCTCGGCTGCAGGTCTACTTTCTGGCTCTTTCTCGGGACAGCCACTGCAGCCGTGCACAACGCCATTTCCACGCAGCAGCTGGAAGACCTGTGGATGCACCGCTGGAAGATGGAGGGCAAGAATGAGAGGCAGTTGGGATGGGAGATGTTGGGCGTACTGTCTGCAGATTTTGCGCACGACTACCAGGATCTCGGCCATCACCGGTAGCTCTGCAAAGTCCTCGGATTTGGGTTTGATGACGATGTGTGCAGTCATCGAAACGCGACTTAGGCTCAGGTCTTGACATCTTGCGTTGTCGCTCTACTTCTTTAGCAAAGGAATGGCAAACAGCCATACAATTTGAGTTGGACGTGCAGTCCACTTAAACGTTGTACAGGCTTCAAAGATGCTTTCCCAACTGAGGAATGAAGCACCATGCATTTCGGCCTTGTATGCTTTCACATCCGTGCCAGAGCTGTACAGCAGGGGTGAGATGGCACAAACACAAGATGACCAAGCTGCGAACGAACAGCTGTGGGCCCTGCCAGCACTGCGATGTATTCGCATGTGTTCACACCGTACTTAGAATTGCGATCATGTCAGTCCTCCCGGAATGCTTGCAGCATTGCTAAGCGGGCACCTTGCAAAGTACACGAAGGCCGGACAGTGGCAGGCTATACGTATTACTTGCAGTTGGAAGCCTTTCGCAGGAAGCGCTACTGAGCAGTCCTGCTTTTTGCCGGTTTGCGCAAGAGTCCTCGAGAAGAGCACACGGCGCCTTGAACGAGGCCCGAAGATCCCCGAAGCAGGTCATGGAAACGGCACTTGCCCATGCGCAAGGCGATGCGAAGTGCACAGCCGGTCATCGAGAAGGCTGTCGAGAGGAGTCAACAGACCATCAGGCCCCGAAAGTTCCTGGAAGCCAAGCTCTAGCTCTCACTTCCTTGCAGGGAGCTGGAGCGGAAGGCCGGCGGCTCCAACGCAAAGTGAGATCTTCGACGTCCGGGCAAAGTACAGAATGGCCCTTAGGGTGGCCTACGTAAGCCCTTCGCCCTTAGCGCTTTCGCTTGCCGCAAGTCTTTCCGAGCGTGTTCGAGGGCGCCAAGCAGCAAAAGACTGATGCAAAGAAAGTAGATGCGGTAACACGTTGACTTGCCGTGCAGCCGAGACCATGAAGCCCTGTCTTTTGTGTGCCGTTTGGCTCAGCAGCATCCAACTGAAGCAGTCGTATGCAGTCTTTTTTCGATTTGTTGAGCTTTGCCTGCGGTGCTGTGCAGAGCCGTGAAGAAGATTTCTATCATTATGCATATGAGATATGACCTCGTTTGCACATCTGTTCAAGCTTGCCGAAGCATCTGGACCAGCATGGTGGCCACCGTGTGGCCATGTGCGCCTAGCGTGTCTTGGTGCGTTCTGGTGCAGCCAGAAGTGTGCGTTCAAAGATGGGGCGACCGAAGGAGATCCTGGTATAACTGTTGGATGTCGCCAGGTGGCCATTCACCGGATGCACGGTCATGTACTCAGAGTTGAGTGAAATTCCGTTAGTATTGACACACGGACACCCCACCTGGTAACCGTAACCTCTTGGCTGCGTGCGCTCAGAGACGACCTCATGACTCTTCATGTGTTCTTCGAGCTAAAGAGTAGCTTGGCTTGTGATTTGGATCATTACATTGTGATCCTCAAGCCTCCAAGAAGACTCATTCGAGGCTCTTGGCACAAAGAGCTCCCGTGTCAAGGCTGAGAGGAACGTATCGTGTATCGAACCCAGAGCTTGGTCAGAGTTCGCAGCTTATTTCCAACCTCTTGCAATTAGGTAGCATATCTGGTGCTGGCTGCACTAAGGTGAAACTACGTTGTCTGAAATATGGAGCCCTGGATGTGTTAAGACATGTTAGGAGAAGAGGTACATGGGTGCTTCTTCTTGCCGATCAGCCGTCCGAGGAAACTCCTGGACAGAAGACCCGCGCAGTGTGTGTCTTGCGCGACTAGCTCGGGGCCGCTCCGGCCAGACACGTGTAAGGTCTGAGACGTGTTTTACTCTCTGAGGACACCGTTTGGACAGCCAGGGCCTGAGTGCCGAGGGCCGAGGGCTCAAGGGAGACAAGTGAAGTGTGCATGCAGAGTGCAGGGGGAGCACTTCTCCGACTTCTCCGTGCTTGAGGACCTCTGTGTGTTTTGCCCTTCAAGCTTTGAGAGGCTCGCTTCTAGCATCGGTTGCTTGAGGACGGCCTCAAGAAGGCAGCATGTGGCGACATGTGCGATGCATCCCTAGTGCCGCTCGGCTCCCTCAGGTGGTGAGCGGTGAGAAGGACTGCTGGAGGCGAGCGGAAGTGCATCGCATGACTAGGCCAGTAGGTTTGCTTGCAGGCTCCTGGCGGATGCCGCCGCTGACAACCAGGGTTGCAGCGGCCACAGCGAGACTGCAGCTTCCTGCGTTTGTGGCACACTGGCATCATCATGCCCATAGCTGCTTTCGAATTGCAGTCATCGTCATCTACACTTAGCCCCAATGCCACTTGTCCAACATACCAATCTACCGGCCCTGGGGGATGGCCACTTTCCTCGTTGCATCGAAACTGATGCGCGAAGACTTGCGCTGAACTGAGTGATGGCTTGAGTGCATCGATGGAGGCTGTGTATGAGGCATGAACTAAGCCTGAGCTTTGAAGCTCCTTACCAGGCATATCTTTGAGGCGAGACTGACGGAGTTTCATGTTGGCGCACCTTTTGATGCCCTTTATGCGGGCCACCTTCTTGATTAGCATACGTAACATGCTCTTTCCTTCTGTGGATGGCATGTATCTTCACGCAAGTTCAGGCAAGTCCGGCTCTGGAGTAGATTGGAACCGCGATTGGTTGATGTTCTGAAACTACATGTCTTGGTGCTCTGTATATTGCAATGACCACAACCATGCTTTGCTTTCTCACAGAGTTCGGTTTTGCCACATGCTTGCAGGCTGTCTGCGTCGCATGTCGTCTTCAATACCAGCATGCCCGTCAAGCAGTTCACAGTGACACCGCAGCAGCCATGAGCCTTCCGATTGGATGCAGACACTCCGATCCAGATATAGCTTTGGGAGCATTCGGATAAACAATGTGGCTCGTGGCATCAAACCACATCACATCGCAGAATATGCCGTGAGAGAACAAGTTCCTCGCTCCGGAGTGCCAAACCCAACCGGACCCGACACCTCGCACCACCTGGGACGCGACACGTCACACCACATGATTACCCCGTTGGTTCGGCTCCAGTGCACCCACACCAGGACCCCTGCAGCAACTTATCGCTGAACTTGGCCCCGATGCATTCTCCAGGTTTACGCTTGAGTGTATCCGCCTCCCGCACAGAGTTTGCAAGCATGTGGAACAATCTCCCAACCGAGTCCCAGAGAGAATGGCTAACGACATGCATTCGGATCATTCCGCAGCCTCCGCAATGATCGCGGAATCCTGGAAGTCCATGTGAAACGAAGATGACCGAGCGAGCTGAGCTCACCATCCCGTACAACCGCTGGCACGACGAGTGTTGGACCACGAACCCCGCCATGGTGTGAGAAATCTGCCGAAGGCCTTTTCCGGATGATCTCCCGAGAAGCAGACCGCCTCGCTTGATAGCAATATATGCGAATTGCAGGTTTCCCCCACGTGGCCGCCATGAGTGATACTTGCCAGACAGCATACGATGTGCGCTGAAGAAGCACACCAAGCTCCTGCAGAACATACGACCCGTGAGCAAGCAGGGCAAACAGCTCACGTCTTGGTGCAAGTTGTTGAACGTTGACGTTGACCATCAACGCCACCACTTCGACAAGTATTTGCCTGCATGACCGGCTCGATTGCGGGCTTCCGAGATGATGTCAGTGCCACGCAGAATACATGACATAGCACCAAGCGCAGCAGCGACAGAAAACAGCAAAGATGCACTGCGTGTACTAAGTGGTTGTTAACCGATTGTCGCTTTCGTGCGGCCGGCCTCGAAGTGATCACACGTGTTGTAAGCTCGCCTCATCAAGCATGTTGCTCTCTATACTAACCAACACCCATGGTCTCATGGTTGTCGATAATCTTTGGTATAAGTTTGTCTTTTATGGGATCATCCCAATGTTCCCTATTTTGTATACCGTTTGTCCATTCATTTACATCCGAGCAACTGCCAACATGCACATGTGCGCGTCCAGCTTTATTCGACGTCGTGCGTGATGGTGAAGCCTCGCCACCACGACTCAAAGCATGTAGGGGGCGTGTTTAAGATATATGAGGAACCGGAATCGCCAAATGAAGGGGCGTGCTTAAGACATATTATGAACAGCAAAAAGGCCAAATGAGAAGGCGTGTTCTAGATGTCTGAGGGGCCGGAATCGCCAAGCTTTTGATGAATCCGGAATCGCCAAATGAGGGAGCATGTTCAAGATGTATGATGAACCGGAATCGCCAAGTAAGGGGGTGTGTGTAAGATGTATGGTAAACCGGAGTCGCCAATGAGGAGGCGTGTTGTAGAGATATGATGAATCGCCCAAGTAAGGGGGCGTGTTTAATGTATATGACGAAAGAGAATCACCAAACGAGGGGGCGTGCTTAAGAGATGATGAACCGGAATCGCCGCATGAGGGGGCGTGTTTAAGAGTTATGACATGACGAATCCGAATCGTGAAATGAGGGGCATGTTTAAGATATATGATGAACCGGAATCGCCAAATTGAGGGGGTGTGTTTGATTTAAGATTAGCAGGAATCCGAGGAGGGGCAGGACATTTACATTAACACACATGTCTCTCCCCGATGTTCCTTCCTTCGACCAGCCACGCAAATCAGCAAGTCCATGTAGGTGGGAATGAGAACAGACCTAAGCCGCTGCGAGGTAGAACGCCTCGAAACCCTAAACCGTAGAATTGCCAGAGGCAAACTGTCCTGGAAACTGCTACATTTCCTCTAATTATTTTTTTAATGCTTGTTTTATTGATCCTTGGATTGAATGCTTTTTTGATGTTTATTTTTTTTTAGATGCTCCACCCCGACAAATTGTGCATAGCATCTCTTAATGATTGGAGCACGGCAGGCCAAAGCGAGCATCCTCAGCACCAGTGCCGCGCAGATGCATCGCTGCACAGGCTTCCGCACCACGTGGTGGACGCAGCGTTTTCTCGCCCGACTTCAGCACTGCTCGGGCTCGGAGTCGCTTGGGCTGGTGCTTTCCGAGGGTTTGAGCAACGGCACGGCCGTCGATATGAGAAAGTTCGTGCCGATGCGGTAGACCTCCCTGAGAAAGCAGGTGCTTGTGATCCCTCTTTCCTCGTGCCTTTTGAGCTGTGGGAATTGGTGTCTGGTTTTACCAACATTTTCCGTGTCGATGTGGACGCTTCAGCTTCCAGGGAACTTCAAGGCCAAGAGCGCAGCGAAAAATTGAAATTCACAGCACGCGAGTTGATATTATGCGAAAAGCTGCGGCAGCCGCCCACGGTTCAAGGACAAGCGTGCGTGTTTGCGGCGCCGAAAAGGATTTGCGACAAGCAGCGGAAGATTTGGGATGGTTGGCTGCTGTCGAAGCAGGCAAAAATTCCGGTTTTCTACATGTCCAAGCGCGACGCCAGGACTTACTTTGAGGGTGGTTCGGCCAAGCACCGGTTACCGTTGGTGAGTTGTTGTCTGCGGGGGTCAGTCGCAGGCAAATCATGAGTTTCACGGACGGATGCTTTACCCAGGAAACCTCTGCTGCCAGGTACAGTGTTGCACCTTCTCAGTGTTGTGTGGCCTATGGGCTTTATTGGGTGGCCTTGCGTTGCACAGGCGAGCTCTGTGGGATGTGTGCTGAATGCCGGAGTGCTTGAACACCAAATCGTTAGCTTGGAACATGATGTGCCACAAGGCCAATCGAAGCTCTGTGCTGTTTGCATGGACTGGACGACGCTTCACCGCTTGGACTCCGTTTTCAACGGCGTCAGATCTAGAAGAATGCTGCGACGGATGTTTTTTTGGCGAGCAGCATGACAAGCTTCGGATGCGATATCAGCAACTCACCGGCTGGGGTAGATCCCAATGAAGTGAAACTTGCTAACATGGTCGTCAGCTTGTGCGATGTTTGGTGTCAGGAGCGAGCAAGTCCACGGGCCATGGCGTCAGCACTCGGAGCGCTGCAGTGGTTCTGCCTTCGGCAACGCGGCATGCTTAGTATCTTCGACGAAGTTTACAAGTTCAGCACTCGAGGAGAGCCACACAGCATGCGGCCGCTGCCATGCTGTGTGCAAAGGGAGCTGTTCACAGCACTGGCGCTGGCCCCTCTGCTGGCTGCTGCCCTGGACGGCCAGTTCTTGGAGTTCTTGGACGAGATTCTTGCTTGCGACGCTGCTCCAGAGTTTGGGTTTGGTGTGAGCAGTTTCAGCTGTGGTTGGAAAGTCGTTGAACGACTGGGAAGGCTTGCTGAGCGCAAAGGCGCTTAGGTCAGAGTCGTCGCAGAGCATGGCGGCGGTCCTAAGGCCATCTGCGGGTTTTGATTTTTGTGCAGCCCGGAAGCAAGCTCATTCCGGCCTGCTTGAGTGCCATGGAGTCTTGTTGGCTTCAAAACGGGTGGCTCGAAATGCAAAAAGACATCACCGTCGTCCCGTCGTGCTGGTGGAGGCCAAGGCAGACATCGGTTCGATCAGCAAGGGGAGGAGCTCGGAAAGCGTGGGAGAGCTTTTCTACGGTTTCACTTCAAAAACAGGTGGCTATTAACGCCTTCTACTGCAGAACCGGGCTCATCGCAAGTAAGCAAGGTCTGCGCCTGGTGGGCTTCGTCGTTGACGGGTTTTGAGGCTGAACTCGGAGCTGCTTTGTGGTGGAATGAGGCTGTGAAGTGAGCGCTGCCTCCTCGCGTAAGCTGGGTCACGAGCGGTCCTCCCCTGAGGCATGCCTGAGAATGGTTTTTTAGCGGCTCCATCCGGAATACGGTCGTGGACTTTGTATCTCTAGCCAGTAGTGGCCAGAGGTCAACAGACCTGACGCCGACTTTTGCCCTTTCACGGTGGCAGGTGACAGTGAGCTTACATGCCAACTTTATGTGTTTTGTAACCACTTTGGTACTTGCAGAAGGGGAGCACATGCGAGGATTTTGCCGCGACCCGGTCGTGGCATGCGTCACCTTCAGGGAAAGCACCCAAACCCAGCAAATGCAACGTGTTTACCGCTTGACAGTGCATGGGGAATGGCTGCTGTTCTGGATGATCACGTGTTCGGTTGCTTGTGGAATCCTGCATCTGCATAGGGGATGTCTGGTTTTGATGTGTTGTGATGCCATTGATGTGTGTCCTGAGCGGATGCTTGCAAAATCCAGCATCTACATAAAGAATATTTGCTTTGTGTTGTGCTGCCACGGATGTGTCTTTGGGGCTTGCGAAATCGAGCGTCTGCATGGGGAATGGCTCTTTCTATTTCTGCTTTGTGGCTGGCGAAATCGAGGCAACTACGTGATAATTCAGACTCGTTTGATGCATCAACGCAGTGCCTACCCCAACATGTGGGAGACGGCCTATGAAGAGTAATGCCCGAACCCCATGGCCGTAACCTCCTTTCAGAGACAGGTCTGGGCGGAGACAAACACGCTGGGGTTGTGTTTAGGAGTCTCGGGTCCACCAACTTTCCGAAAGCATGTTCGAGTCTTGACGAGTCGAACCAGGGAATGCTCTGCAATCTGCATTGTCTGCATTAGGCATTCCGCAACTTCGGCGCACAGCTGAGGTGGGGCTGCCATGGCTGCGATGCTCGGGATCGAGCCCTGGAAAGGTTGCGAAGCGATTTCGTCTGAGTCGTTTACCGTCAGGCAAACAGGCAAGAGACTCAAATGTTGACGCAAACGATTCTAGTTCTGGGGCAAGCCAATCCTATTTTTTGGACACTTGCTGGTTTTCGTGCGCTCGTATTTGTTCACTCGCTGGCGTTCTTCCTTCATTGGCGAGACGTGCGTGGCAGGGACAAAAGTTGTAATTGTAGGTGAGTTGGCCATGGGTTGAGGCTGGCCATCGGCGATGCTGTGGGAGCTCCGTTGGAGGCACAAGCCGGGAGCAGGATACTCCAAAGCTGTAGTGTAAGGCTTGTGGCCCATGCCTTGGCAGTTCCTGCCGGTCAACCAACTTCTCCCTGACCACCTCGGAGGGTAGGGTCCTTGTCGCAAATCTTGCATTTTGGGTTTCAGCAAACATGTGCTGGCTTTGTCAGGTACTCGGATGCCCGGCGGTCCATCCCCAAGCAAACAAAACGCAAGTCTTTTCGGCCTTTCGCCTGCTTTGCGCCACTGAAGGCCATGTGTTCTTCCACCGGGTAGATGGCCCAGGGTTGGGTGACAAGCAGCACTTCGCGGCATTGTCATGTGGATGCAGGACTGAAGGAGTGCGGCCCGCATCCCAGAGTTCGAGCTGCGGTGAGTGGGCACACTATTGTGCAGCTGGCAGCTAGCTTTTGCAGACACATTACTTGGTAGGCTTTTTTCGACCAACTCCGAATGTCCTTCCGGAAATCCGTCTCAGTGTCCTGCTAAATGCGGTAGGAACCAAAGGAGACCAGCAGCGAGCCTTGGACCGCTTGAGACTGCATTTCTAGGGATGCCGTTAGCAGAGAGGGAAAGACCGGAGAGCCAGACAGCAGCACCACGTCTATTTGTATGAAACCAGCATGCACTCAAGAGCAGAGGCCACTTCAACTCAACCTCTACATCCCGTTCTTTCGACCCTTCCGCAAAGCCTGCGATCAGAAACACACAGGTTCAATACGTTAGCTCTGAAGCTAGTGTCGGTGAGCCTTTTTCATATCTTGCCTGCTCAGTTTTTGTTCCGCGGTGCTAAGTGCTAAGCGCACATGACATGATGTTTTGTGCAATTGTCATCCTGTATCCACTGCTTCGTTTGCATTGTTCACCCCTTAAGTCACGGAGGCGGGATCCCCTCCAGTTGACTCCCCATGGCCTAGCCTTGTTTCGCTTTTGTGTCTGGTGACGTGTGGTGGAAAGTTTTCAGTGCAAGCTGATGTTTCGTTTTCCCGAAGCCTGGGCTCAGTCCTTCTGCGGATAAATTTGCAGCGTGGGTCATCCGATGTCCCGTCGTTCTCAGTTTGGTCGTGCAGGTGACAAGCTCCAGTATCGGAACCCGTCGTTCTGACTTGTTTCGGTTTAGTCATAGCCTCAAGAGCTCTGTGCTGCTCTGCAATGGAGGTACAACAAATTCCAACTGCTGCCTGGTCAGTGGCGATGTCCTCAGCCTGATTCAACGTCCAATCCGCTTCCACTGTCACTAGTGTGTGACAAGGACGGATGACACTAGTATGGCTCTCTGTCGGCTCCTTTGTTTTGCTGGACCGGCCGCATGTCTGAATCCTCCTACTTGCTCCGCTTGCAGAGGCCTTGCCGATTCTCTTTTGGTTTCTCAAGGTCCGTCGGCCTGTCGATGGGACACGTTGGCAGTGCTATGTGTTCGGTGCAGGCTACAGCGGAGCTGACGTCCGAGTCCGATGGCACATGTGGTCGCTCTATCCGGGTGTTCAAGCCGTGGGAGATTTGTTGACAACTGTTGACTGTTGACGATTGACCGTCGTCTGAGTGAGTTCTGGCATCTGCAAGTACTCGTTGCTGCGCTTGCCAGGTGGTTTCAGGGTTACTGCAATGCATTCCGTCATGATGGACATCGTCGCTACCGCACGTCAGGGCCCAAGTGTTTAGAAAGCATCTCGCCAGCCCATGCAAGTGTAATTTATACGGTCCGTTCATCAAGATCTGGCGTGCCCCACTACTGAAGCTTTCAAACGTGTAGTGTTGTAGGCCAGGGGTTGATGGGTTGCCCTTTCAAAGCCGTCGGATTCCAATTGTCCTCGCATGCGGTGAAGATATGACGTTGCGCCTATGGTTCCGGATTGTGTTATTTCCCAAACATGTGCACAAGGCTTCAAGGCTTGGCCAACGGCAGCTTTCAGCTTTCCCGAGCTGCAGGTCAGTCGGCCTTGGGGGCAACGTGTCGAAGTCTCTAGCCGCATTCTTGGCAAGTGCTGAGTCCTAGACCACACGGTGGACCGAGCGTGCCTGTCACTTCAGGCAGAGGTCGAACGGTTGGCTGCTCGCGACGGTTTGCATTCGGTGCCTCCGATATACGGATCAGTCACCAATGATGCAGGCACCAGTTCTCCTATGCACCGTACATGCACAGAGGAGCAGTGCTTATGTCTTGTGATGTCGGTCACAGGCAACGGCTCCATCATGCGTCTGGCTCCGGTCCGCCATCTGTTCCTTGAGTAATGGGCACAGTGATATGAGTGCTCCACGAAGGTCCCAATTGCTTACTACTTGAATCCTGTCGAGGCTGGTCTGTAGCCTGTGCCTAGCATCTGCGGCCATCACTGAAACTTTGGAGGCGATGGAAAAGGCAATCTTACAAAGCCGTGCAACGTGTCGCAGCTGCAAGTGCACGCGGGACCGGTGACATCTTAAGCGATGCGCCGACTCGGCTTGTTGACATGATACAGGCATCCCAGTTGTGATGCCGCCGCCTGCTGCGCCTTTATGGCCTTCTTCATTGCAAAGGCTTGCAACGGCTCGCGGCTCGCAACGGCTCGCGAAACGGCGCAAGCGGCACAAACCGCGCAGACGCGCCCCCCCGGCGCAGGCGATTCGTCTGCACAGCCAAGGCCTTGCACCTGCAAGGGCCCCAAGCGCCCCAGGACTTTTGAGTGGTCAACAGCGGCTCGCCGCGGCTCCTCCTAGCTTTCCTCTTGGCGAGGCGTGTCAAGATTTCATTGCCAGTGTCCGGGACTCGTTTGGTCCTGCCATGAGTAGCGAGTTGTCCATGAAGTGTTCTACCAGAACTGCATTGCATCCACCGCACTCCAATCTAATCCATCCACCCCGCCGCAAGCCCATCCCGACAACCACCCGACAACCAACGGTCGTCTTGCAGGCCATTCCCGAGTTCCTCGCAAGTGGCTTCCAGGCAGCGACTGATACTGCAACTTCCAGGGCATGCTGCGAGCAGAGTTTTGCCAAAGATGATGGGCAAGGACTTGGCTGCATTTAGAAACATGGCGGGTGCAAGACTCAAGTTGCCTTCGGGATTCAGTGTGCCCGGTCTGTGGGGCAAGATGCCGTGGAAAAGTGACCGAGGTTGTGGAAGAACTGATGGGGTGAGACGAATCCGAGCGCTGCTGACTTGCGCACCACCGAGCCCCAAGGAGTTGTGGTTGAGCCATAGAGAACCTACTGTTAGGTCCTCGGTTGCGAAGCTCGAAGCCCCTTCACCTTGAGCCATGTTCGTCGCGAGCTGTGAGAGGAAGCGAGCTGGGACTGGAAGTCGACGGAGCTCCAGATTTGGGAGGCACCGACTCACTAGGCCATGAAAATCGGTCGAAAGGGCACTCTCTACTGCGAGGCCATGAAGGAGCGTTGGAAGGACAGAAGGCATTCTGGTTGTAGAAGCTTTTTGCTTCCGTGCCAAGACCTGCCCAATAATGTCATTGTTCAGGTACAATGGGCACCCAATCATCGATACTTACTGGGGTGCGTATTGTCACTACCCTGGAACTTCTGCAAGAAGATAACTGTTGAGTGGTGGCAACTTACAGGTTCAGTGTTGGGATGAGGCATGGATGGCCTTGCAATGGCATTGTGGGCGCTGTGGCACACCGACTGTCCGAATCTTGAATTCAGCTGTGCTGAGGCTTCTCTTGTACGGCAGAAGAAACGAACATGAAAGGCTGCAGCCATGTTGCATCTCAAAGCCATTGCTGCGCAGTGTGACGGTGCCAATCTACATTTGACTCAGGGTAACAACTTACGGAGACTCGTGACATCACGTCGTAAGGATTGTTTGCTGAGCTTGCCGAGTTTCAAATCCCGCCTTCGCCCGACTCCAGATCCTGATGGAATGGTTGAATAACTATGCATGTTTTGCATTGATGCACCACGATACCCCAAACTGGACGTCCGAGCCATGGTCGAGACAGTGGTGGTAACGCGAAACCTTTTCGCTTTGCTGGTTCTTGCCGCTGTACCGGGATCTGCGCCACAGCTTTGAATAGTCAAAAGTCTTTGGCTACCGACAGCTTCCGGTGGTGAGTGCTGACTGGTCTAGGCTGGGTTGGTTTGCTTTTTCAGCATGAGGACTTGAACCTGACTTGCTTTCAAGGTATATTTCCATGGTGCCTTGGCAGATGCTCGCATACGCCGGAAAAGCATGTTGCAAACACTCAAGCCTTCGTCCCTGGCTGCAAAGGCTGGTATGGGCTTTCTGTAAGCCTTGGCTGGGGCTGTTTGGGTGCGCTCGTGAGCGTGTACGGCCTGATGAAAGGGGTGAAGTTGCGCCATCCAAAGTTAAAGCTAGGCAGCAGCCTGGCAGCATACACCTGCTCGTGTGTAGCTGAACCATGTAGAACCAACGTCTACGGAAATCGTTGAGTTTCTGGAAAATGTCCAGGTGGCATAGATGTGTCGCTCGCGAAGTACCTCTTCTTTGTCACCGTCACAGGCAATTTTGTGTCCCTGGTGGTAGCTGTTCGAAATCGAGTAAGTCAAATGGGTCTATGCAAAAACGAGAACTGGAATTCGCGATGGTAGCCTGCTATCACGAGTTCGTTCGAAGGCACAGATAGGGCCGATAGCGGAGTGGGGGGGGGTAGACCCTTCTTTTTGGCTCCAAGCAAGAACCACCCTCTCCTCTTCTGAGACGGGGTTTCTCCCGGTCAAAGAAAAAGGAGGGGGGCAGCTTCTTGTCTTCGGTCAAATAAGAATCCCCCCCTGCACTCCCCTTCTTCCGCTCCATCGGTGTGAGTCGTCGATGTCGTAGCAGTAGTAGCAGTAGTAGCAGTAGTAGCAGTAGCAGCAGTAGCAGCAGTAGTAGCAGTAGTAGCAGTAGTAGCAGTAGTAGCAACAGTAGGTCGAAGTAGTAGCAGTAGAAGTTGAAGTTGAAGTGGAAGTGGAAGTGGAAGTGGATGTGGTGGTAGTAGTAGTAGTAGTAGCAGTAGTAGTAGCAGTAGCTGTAGCAGTAGCGGTAGCGGTAGCGGTAGCGGCAGCGGTAGCAGTAGCAGTAGTAGCAGCAGCAGGAGTAGTAGTAGTAGTAGTAGTAGTAGTAGTACAAGTACTAGTAGTAGTAGTAGTAGTAGTAGTAGTAGTAGTAGTAGTAGTAGTAGTAGTAGTAGTAGTAGCAGTAGCAGTAGCAGTAGCAGTAGAAGTAGAAGCAGAAGTCGTGGTGGTGGTAGTAGTAGTAGTAGTAGTCGTAGTAGTTGAAGTAGTAGTAGTAGTAGTAGTAGTAGTAGTAGTAGTCGTAGTAGTAGTAGTAGTAGCAGTAGCAGTAGCAGTAGCAGTAGCAGTAGCAGTAGCAGTAGCAGTAGCAGTAGCAATAATCTAGTTGTAGTAGTAGTGGTAGTAGTAGTACTAGTAGTAGTCGTAGTCGTCACTAGGAATCGTAGGAACAGTAGTGGTAGTAGTAGTAGTAGTAGCAGTAGCAGTAGCAGTAGCAGTAGCAGTAGCAGTAGCAGTAGCAGTAGTAGTGGTTAGTAGTAGTAGTAGTAGTAGTAGTAGTAGTAGTAGTAGTCATAGTAGTAGTAGGCCGGTGTCCCTTCCTGGACCCACCTCCCGTGCATGTTTCAAGCCGCAATTAATCATCACTATGAAATGCTGAGGCGGGGCCCCGGGCTAGTAGTAGTAGTAGTAGAGTAGTAGTAGTAGTAGTAGTAGTAGTAGTAGTAGTAGTAGTAGTAGTAGTAGTAGTAGTAGTAGTAGTAGTAGTAGTAGTAGTAGTGGTAGTGGTAGTGGTAGTGGTAGTAGTAGTAGTAGCAGTAGTAATAGTAGCAGTAGTAGTAGCAGTAGTAGTAGGAGTGTTGTTTCGGCCCGAATGGTTTTCTTACATGGTTTCTGCGACAGAGGTGTAAGCCGATTCCACGACCAGCAGCGCCAATGCCACACCGGATACACCGGATGGTACTGATCACAGTGACACAGTGCTGCTTTGTTGGCTGCTGCCCAAGCCAAAGCCGACGCAGAGGCCAGAGCAGCTGCTGAAGGACGAAAGCTGTTGGAATTGTTCGCTTGTGAAGCCTTGTTTGAATTGTGTATGCTTTTCCGGGAAGCACACATCAATCTTCTAGCAATCTGATGGAAGGGCGGTTCGATCTGGGGTGGCCTCGCAGGGGCGCGAACTTCACAACATGGAGCCACGGGATGCTTCTGCCACCTTGGCGCCGCCAGCTGGACCAGGACTTTTTCAGCAGTTGCATGATGAATATGGCTTTCTGGGAAGCCTCTTTGACAGCGTTGGTGAGAACGATGTAGAATGGCCAAGGCATTGGCAATTCGGACCCACCCAGACACCTGTACCTGCAACAGATTAGCAAACTGGCCACTTAGAACCTGCGGAGAGGCGTCCAACCAGCGCGAGCAAGGATGCTCATGGATCGACTGCTGGACCTCCTGCAGAATAATACATGCCGACCATGTACGCGAATGTTCCGCTGCTCGGCGATCAAGGACAGCACCGCTTCCTGAAGAGCATGAAACAGCTCCCCCAGTTGATCGTCAAGAAGCAGCCAGCTCCTCTGACCAAATCCCTGGCTCGGTAAGCATCTGTGCCCCAGCCGACCCCAATGGAAGCTCCAGATGGTTGTTCGCAGAAGGTGCCGGAAACCCAAACCCAGACGATCCGGCATTCATTGTGCCATTGTGCCTTGAAGCATAAGGGAGAGGATTCCAAAATTGACCCTTCACCCAAAAGATCCCAACAAAAGACACGCGTTGGATGGTCTTCCGAACTGCAAGCATTGGGTGTGGCAGTTAACTGCATGGAGTTACTTTTGTCAGCATTTTGAGAAAAAGTGTTGTCCTGTTTTCCACGCTCGAGCGCCGCCCTGCTGACCCACCCGCTTCGATAGTGCCGCAAACCCTAACACTGTTTTGCCCCCAACTCTACCGGCCAGCCCTGTAGGAAATCTTTACGGCCTGTTAGAAATCGCCGGAATCGCATACCGAGCTTCCACTTGCTGCAGGGACGTTGTGAGGAAAGGCCTGCTCTGTACGTAATGCATCTCTAGCCGCTGTGGCTGGCGACAACGTGCCGTCGCTGGTTCTTCAAAATATGTTCTTGTAGTGTTCTCGCCCGCAGGCGTCCTTGCAGTCGTGCTCTGGAAATCTTTAGGGTGCTGAGGATTGCATGCCGAGCTGACCGTCTGCAGGGCGTTTTGAGGAAAGGCCAAGTCCGTAACGTAATACCCTTGTAATACCATTTTAGCAGCCATAGTCGGTGACAATTTGCAGTCGCTGGGTCTCCGAAGTATTTTCCTGCCTGAACAAGCGTCCTCGCAGTCGTGCTCGGCTGTGCTTCGGACCTCGAGCTTGCATCTAGCCGAGAAAGAGAGCAGGATCCTTGTGCGATCCGGGTCATTGCGGAGCAGGCGCTGAGCCTTGCATGCACGTTGCCGGTCAGGACCCAGCTCCTGCAGAAGATGCCAAGGCAGGGGTTGGCGGGGGCGTGTGTGGTAGTGCCTTGGTCGTCTGTGCCCGGCAGAGCATGTGCCCGAACGGTCCAAACCACACACATTGATGAAGGTCACCAGCGAGATGACAGGCCAGCACAGGGCCCCGTGACATTGCCAATTTCGAAGAGCCGGCCGCCAGCATGATGAGCTGCCGACACAGCAAGCAGCAATCGCACCCCTACCTGTGGCATGGTGCCCGTAGCACCCGACTTCTAAGCCACCAAAGGGCTCTGGCTCTCTCTGCCCAAATAGCAACAGTTATTGCTAACTTACCATAAATGCTGCAGTTAGTCTCTCATCAATCCTTGATCACTTGCAGTCTGTACTGCTTGCATCAGTAGAGCTGCCGAATGCCAGAATTTCGCAAGGAAATAGATTGGATGTCCTCTTGTTTGTCGCCCTCGGGCCAGGAGGACATCCGTTCCTTCTGGATTCTGCCACAGTGCGAACGAAGTGCGCATAGGCGCCGGGATGCAGATCCTGCCCCAAGTAGTAGTAGTATTAGTAGTAGTAGTAGTAGTAGTAGTAGTAGTAGTAGTAGTAGTAGTAGTAGTAGTAGTAGTAGTAGTGGTAGTGGTAGTGGTAGTAGTAGTAATAGTAGCAGTAGTAGTAGTAGTAGTAGTAGTAGCAGTAGCAGTAGCAGTAGTAGTAGTAGTAGTAGTAGTAGTAGTAGTAGTAGTAGTAGTAGTAGTAGTAGTAGTAGTAGTAGTAGTAGTAGTAGTAGTAGTAGTAGTAGTAGTAGTAGTAGTAGTAGTAGTAGTAGTAGTAGTAGCAGTAGTAGTAGTAGCAGTAGTAGTAGTAGTAGTAGTAGTCGTAGTAGGAGTAGTAGTAGTAGTAGTAGTAGTAGTAGTAGCAGCAGGAGTAGTAGTAGTAGTAATAATAGTAAACGTGGCAGTGGCAATGGCAGTAGTTCTGGCAGCAGCAGGAGTAGTAGTAGTAGTAGCAGCAGTAGTAGTAGTAGTAGTGGTGGTGGTGGTGGTAGTAGTAGTAGTAGTGGTAGTGGTAGTGGTAGTGGTAGCCGCCACAAGTGCTCAAGCGGCCGCGCTGAATGAGAGGTTTCGAACAGGCTTGGGGCGCAACTGCTGTGCTAGAGGTCCCAACTGGGCTCTTTTCTGAACAGTAAAGGTTTGTGCCTCCTTCTACGCCATGGTCCTCTCCCTTTTCTCACAGGAGCTGCTTTGAGCCGCCAGGTCCCAATTCCTGGGCCCAGACTCTGTTTAAAACATTGCAACACTGGGTAGGCGGTAGGGTTTCCACCTCCGCGCGGTGGAGGGAGTCATTAGGCTTCTGTCTCTTGACGAAAGTAGCGGATGGCGCAATTGCCAGTGCACTCACAAAACTTTGCATCTCTTCGTAAGAATTCGTTCAAGACAGCATGTAGAAGGACAGTCCGTAGTGACGGGCCCGTACCATACCGAGGGCAGGTTCTGACACCTACCCTGGTTGATCGTCTGGGGGTGCGCCCCCCACCCACTCGAAGAGAGCTTCAGTCACAGACTGCTGACTCCCCTGCATATGGCACAGCCTCCCGCAGGGCAGGAAGGTTGGAAAGATCCATTCGAGTTCTTTCGTGGAACGCGGGCCACCTAGGCCAACAGCAATGGGGCGAACTCAAAACGTGGCTAGCAGCTGAAGCCTCTCATCACTGCGACATCCTCATATTGCAGGAAACGCACTGGACTGAGACCAGTGAATTCAGCGTTTCTGGGTGGTACTGTATCTCCTCAGCCTCGGAGTCTACCAAACCCAACACCCGGCCTAAACAAGCAGCGAAGCGAAACACTCGGCAAGAACCGCGAGCTCCATCCACGACTCGCGCTGATGGAGTCATGATCCTATTCTCTCCCAAGTTCGTCCCCAAGAGCTTACGCTGGAAGGAGTGGAGCCCGGGTAGAGTCTTAGAAGCTCGTGCGGACATTGCAGGTACTCGGCTGGTTGTTGTCGCGGTGTACCAACACGCTTGGTCTTCTGCCAAGACCATCCAGTCCAATAAGGACGACCGTGCTAAGGTGCTATCTGTCATGTCCAAGGTGATCAAGCAGGTGCCTAAGAGGGACTCCCTTATTGTAGCAGGTGATTTTAACACTT